CCGCCAGAATGCAGCCTGCTCCCAGATGGGAATATGGAACCCGAGTCTCCTCCCTCCCCTCTCAGGTGATGAAAATGTGAGGGGAAAGGGCCCCGGAAAGCAAGGGGGACTCTGAAGCATCACATCCAAGGGAGGAGACGGAGAGCGAGAACTGGAACGGAAGCCAAGGATCAGCCACTGAGCCCAGGCAGACAGTGGGACCAGGTTTGGAAGACAGGGGCGAGAGAGATCACTCAGGAGGGGAGACACTTTCCAAGCAGCTACAGCTGAGCCTGTGGGAGGAGAAGGAGCTGATAAGGGTGCCAAGCCTTCTGGAACACCCAAGACACAATGCTGGGGTAGGGGCCTGGGGATGTTCAGTACAATCCCTGGTATAAATACATTCCTTCTCCCCCAATCCCTAGTGAGAAGGGATTAGTAGTCACCACCCCCCAGGCAACTGTTCAGGAGAATGGCATGGGGTTCACCTGTAGCGTTCTTCTAGGTCTTCAAAATGAAACCCTCATTAGTCTCTCTCGTCTAATTTCACCTTCCTGTTGTAATTGAACCCGCCAAGCCCTCAGTTACTCAGACCCTAGCTACTTAACTGGAACAGAGACAAGAACAATCCCTGAGTATTGCTAGGTAACAATAACAAACTAACTAATATTTGCACAACTTTACAGTTTACAATGTGTTGTCATAACGTTCCTCATTTGCTCTTCATTACCATGCTATGAAGGAGGCGATGCGACCGGAGCTAGGAAGTGAAAGAGCCAGATCTCAGACCTGAGTCTTTAGACTCCAAGCCTGGTGTAATTTTTTATTACAGCAAATAGCTTTTATGTACTATTAAGATAACACAAAAATGCTCTGGTGGTCTGAGGAAATATCCATGTTCTGCTTCGAGAGAATGTATTCAGGGCTGGAGGCAAGGTTCTCCAGAAGAGCCCATCCTCTCCTAACTTCCCTCAGAACGTGTCTAAATCTAAGTGTATATGATGGGCTTTTTCCTCCCTGGCTGGTACAGACAGGGCAGTCTTGCCAAGATGACATCCTTAAGACGGATGATTTCTGGGACGCTCCCTGCCCACCTCCTTGGGGGCTGCTTGGTGACTGTGCTTGGAACCAGAACCATGGTTGCTTTTGTGGCGAAAGAAGAACATAAGAAAACAAATCATGTAAAGACTTGAACGACAGACCAAAGGACGGTAATAATGAACCCGCGTGGCTTTTAAAGAAGCGTCAACCAGGGAAACTGCCCAAAGGAACTGGATCGGAGTTACCAGGCAATGCCCTCCCTTGCTCCTCTGCCTTCCTTCCCCCACTTCTTCCTGTTTTTCCATCCCCACCATTGACGATGCTCAGCTTATAGTCACTATCTAAAGAGAATAGGAAACTCACTCCTCTCTGCATTCTTGGCGCCTAGTTCTAGCTGGTGAGCAGGGTCCAGCTTACAGAGGGTCCTTGCGGAAGAAATAAAGGCTCCAGATGAATGTTAAAGGTTAGTTGTGCAAGTAGATTATAAAAATTCTGCTCTGTGTAGGAGGCTTTGGAGACCTTGCCCTCTACCACAGTTTCTGGAACTTGGTATTAGACTCTCCCCATCCATTTACCCAAAGCATCCAAGCATAGTACAGAATGCCCGGGGCACACTTACGCAGATAATTGACATAGGCAATATGTTAATGAATAGGAAAACAGTTTAAACCTGGGAAAACATTCCTCCTGTTCCTACTTTTCTCCTTTCCCTGACCTCCCAAGTGCTACATTTGGCCCTGTGCTATTTCTTGCAACCAGCCTTCCTCCACTCCAGCCAGCAGTGGCTTCTGGCATTCCCTCCATTCTCCCTCCCATCACCTCCAAGCTCCTGCCTAAGATACCCACAAGCGCTATGAGCATCTCCTTCATGTTTTCTGTGCTTTCCATTTTTCTTTGAAGTTCCTCTCCCCGACTCAGAGAAGACTCCATAGTACTGTATTCCCAAAACTGCAGATTGCCAGAGCCTTGACATGTACACTGTGTGTGATTGAAAAATTCAACAATTATTCACAGGTTAAGATTCATACAGTCTTCGGGGCTGGAAAGGACACTTGAAGCAGAATTTGTCAGTTTTTCAAACATTTCTCTAGCTTCTGACAACTTTTGTCTGTAATGTGAGGGTGCCGGACCTCTGTTTCTAATGTTCTAGAAGTCGGCAGCTTGCTTAAAGTCACATAGTTGGAGTTCCAGTACTAAAATCTGGGCCATAGGTGCAGCTTCCTCCCTTCTTAAGTCCACACTCTTCATTCCATCACTTGTGTGCGTATAAGCATGAGCCAACTTGCCTGCCCTCACTCTGTTAGAATGCTAATCAGTTTGAGACCAAGGAGCAATTCTTCTCTTTATATCCTTAAATACTTAACATAGTATTGGCTACTGAATCGCATTTTCTTAATTGCAAGTGCAGATACTCTACCTTATCCATATCTGTATCCACCCACCACAGACCACCACCCCCTCCCTTGATGCGTTGCATGTCCAAGATACTTGATAAATGCTTTTGAATGACTAAAGGAAGAACCTCCTGTATTTGGTTATCTCAATGAGCACTGCTTGCCAGTTGATTGGAACGAGACTCCCTAATGCTTAAACTAGGTTCACCTCCCGGATGTGTTCCCCCATGGTCTTGGCTCCACCATTAAGTAGCTGTATCACTCGGCAATTACACAACCTCGCCTCACCTGCATTTCCTCATCTGTAAAACGGGGATAAAATAGCACTTACCTCATCGGATCACAGTCAGGATTAAATGAGAGAATCCACAAAAAGCCCCAAGAAGAGTGCCTAGCAATACATAGCAAAATGCTCAGTAAATATTAGCTACTGTTCTTTTAAACTTTATCTAGCATAAGCTTTATTACTTATCACTGTGATTCTTACTTAATCGGTTGACTTTTCAAAGACTGTAAGCTCGTGTCAGTCTTGACCCTCCCAGCACGGTGCTCTGGCAGGGGCTGAGTGGTCAATAAATGTCTGAATGCTCCCATCCATGCAAGGATGGGAGTGTTTATAGCTGACACACATTTCCACAGCCTTTGGACACCCTAAATGTTAGTGTTGACTCATGCTCCTACAGCATTCGAGAAGCAGGTAATGGACCGATTGCCAAGTGGTAAGAAGCACGGAGGGCAAAGCGGAGAGAACGGACATGAGTCCTGGCCCCCACTTACTGGAATGTGATCCTGTGTGACTTCTGTGCCTCTTTTTCCTCATCTGTAAAATGGGAAGAATAATAGTAAGAGTAGTACCTACCTCGGAGGGGTTTCGTGAAGATTAAACAAGTTAATGTTTGAAAAGCCCCTAGCATTACATCCATGTTAGCTGCCACCGCCATCAGCAGCAACATGGCCTGTGAGTAAAGACACGACACAAAGGCCTGAGCGTGAAAACAGGCATGTGGCCCTGGACTCGCAGGAAAACATCATGTGGCAATTACAGAGAATCTGGGGGGTGGCCGAAAGGCAGCGCTCAAAATAAACATGAAACCGTGCCGTGACAATTTAGCTGTCATTAATGCACTGATGAAATGTTGTAGGTTCACACAGTCAAGGCCACACTTAAGAGTTGTGGGCTACGGGAGAGGGTTTTCCGAAGAGTGTCTGATTTGCAAAATGCAAACACCGCAGGGCCCACCAGCTCCCACCACAAACCCTGCCCTCCAAACAGGTGGAAGCACATCTGGGCCCAGCGCCCCTCCTCGAGTCTGGAGTCCCGTGGCCCCAGGACCATTCTTCCCTCCTTGCCGGCTCCTCCTGACCTGGGTTTTCTCCTCATCAGTGCAAGGCCCCTCCAGAAACTCGGGGTGGCCGTTCTCTTCTTTGCTGCGGTGTCTCCAAAGCCATGGGGCTCGGGGAAGCCCACCTGCCCTAGACAACAGTGGCCCTCTTGCCAGACGTCCTCGTCGCTGGACCACATAGGAGCAGGGATGTCTGAGGGCAGCAAGCAGGCTCCTCCCAGGTTGCCACCTGGCTCCAGCAACAAGCAGAGGGACGGTTTCCCACCCCGCTCAGGGAAGATGTGGGGCTCTCCGTGACTCCAGGAAACCTCCCGAAAAGGCACCTGGGGTCTCAGAACAATTGAAGACCCAGAATGGGATTGGGGGAAGGAATGTGGGGAGCTTTGCCTCTTCTGTTTTCTGCTCTCCATCACCAAGACGGCTTCCGCTCCCCCCAGCGGCCCAAACCCAGGAGGTGATTTGCAGCTCATCGCACTTAGCCCCAGATTGCTTTTAAAATTATTCATGATTAGCCATCTCACCACTATCTACCTGCCTCAAGATTAGATGCTGCCCCTATCTTACAACCCTCTTTGAAGGGCCTGAAATCAAAATCTCCTCATGAATGGAATTTATCTGCAAATATGTACGGTGGCTTCTTATCAGAGAGCTCTTTTTTCAAGTCTTTGCTTAATCTACCTATCTAATGTATAACATGCAAATTATATTGCAAATCCTATGTTAGGTGCAGAAAGAAAATCACAACAGAGCATGTGGTGGTTCTGCTACAATCAGCACCTTATTTGTTGTATCTACCGCTGATCATGACCTTCCGATGTTTATTACCCCTACCCCTTACACATGCACACAAATCGAAATGGGTCTCTGGAGATGCCTCATGAATAGGTCAACTTTGCTCAAGATTCATGGCTCTTATGTAATACTACTTACTATTAAACACTTTTGTGCCTACTTAAGTAATCTTAGCAAGATGTTAATAAATGAATATTATGTTCTTGGGATAGATAGCCACACTATTGCATCGTGATGCCAACGGGAAGGCAGAGAGAGGTGCCTGGCTGCCAACAGAAGTTAAAGAATTTGGTATCAGGAAGGGTCTCAGAAAGGACCCAGAACGTGGCCCATTAGGTTTCTCAGTCAATAGAGCAGCTAGTCATGTGCTCACTGCCTGAGTCTGGGGGGCAGATTCCATCCATGTAACATACAATTTAAAACATTTTCTTGGTCACCTTCACAGCCGCCTGACTGCTCTGCTCCCGTTTGCTCGCTGGGCCCGGCCCGTCCTCGCCCCCGCCTCGGCCCGCTGAGCTCGCCCTCTCCCCACCCGCAGACATGTCCAAGGCCAAGAACGGCCCCGAGTACGCCTCCTTTTTCGCGGTCACGGGCGCCTCAGCCACTATGGTCTTCGGCACCCTGGGTACCGCCTATGGTACAGCCAAGAGTGGCACCGGCATCGCGGCCATGTCCGTCATGCGGCCAGAACTGATCATGAAGCCCATCATCCCAGTGGTCATGGCTGGTATCATCGCCATCTATGGGCTGGTGGTGGCAGTCTTCATCACTAATTCCCTGAATGATGGCATCAGCCTCTACAGGAGTTTCCTCCAGTTGGGTGCTGGCCTGAGTGTGGGCCTGAGCGGGCTGGCGGCTGGCTTTGCCATTGGCATCGTGGGGGACGCTGGTGTGCGTGGCACCGCCCAGCAGCCCCGGCTATTTGTGGACATGACCCTGATCCTCATCTTCGCCGAGGGGTTCGGCCTCTACGGTCTCATTGTTGCCCTCCTCCTCTCCACAAAGTAGCCCCTCTCCGAGCGCGCCAGTCACAGAATATGATGTAATGCCCAACCCCTCATTCCAAAATGAACAGCCTGACACACATGCACGGGGTAGCTGCCCCCCCCCTCGATAGCTGGTCTTGTAAATGCGCAGTGTCCCAGTGCCCATCGTCTGTTACCCCGGCCTTGCCCCCACCCGCCCCGTGCCGTGGACATCTGGGCCCACTTGTTACCCATCCAGGCCCCCGACCAGTGAGGATGCAGGCCTCTGCCTCCCCCACTCATCTGCCCTAGAGTGCTCTGTGTATAAGGATGAATTAGAGTTGTCATTTTCTCTTCACTGGATGTTGATTATTTATAAAGATTTGATCTCTTCATCCGTCTGTGGAACAGCCCTCCGTCTCCCAACTATATAGTAATCTTAGGTAGTGTTGCGTTGTGGGGTTACCGTCTGCTCCGAGACTCATTGGATGGAACCACCCTCCTCCAGCCCCGCCCGCCGGGGGCCGCGGGGCCAGTGCACTGGGCCTGTCAGGCCCTGAGCCGAGCTGAGTCCAATAAAGCTCTCAGTTGTGACTGGGGAAAAAAAAAAAAAAATTTCTTAAAGGGGATGTTGTCCCTGTTTAAATTGGCGAGGCAGTGGTATAAAGGACGAAATCAGAATTCATGGCCTTCCCAGGAGTGGCATCATGCTCTTTGGAGAGACAGGGAAGGGAAGGGTGCAGTCACACATGCCAGATGTGCTGGGTCTGTGGCACAGCTCCTCTGGAATACAAGACAGGCACAAAACCTCTTGAAGCCGATGGGAGTCCAAGGTAAGCTGCTTCACAAACACTCAGCCAATAATAAAATGTTTTGAAAAGCACTTAAGCTTAATGGGTTGAGGTGTTAACTCAGTGGAAGCGTCTGTTACTATGGAGAGGGACTGTGAGAACAGGGCAACGAAATGCCAAGAGGCCCGGAAGGAAAGGCCATCAGGAGGAGTCACTCCTCACACAGCAAACACATAACAAGAGGGCCTCCTGTACACAATGGGAGGCCACACGGGGCCCAGAATGATGATGATGTCCTCAAGGGGAGGTGTGATCGGTACCAGGATGGTCTCCCGATCCCTTGATGCCTCTTGGTTTGAATCAGGCTCCTTGAGTCACTACTGTGCCCAGGCCTTCTATGGACCAGAACTTCCAGGACCTATACTGATTCTTCCAATCTCCTCTTGGCCATTTGCTCAGAAGCCAAGGACCATGCTGACATGTATGGCCTGGTTTGGGCCCACTGGCCTCATGTGTTTTCATGTTCCGCTCCTCCAAAGTCTCTGACACAAGCCAGGTCATAGAAACATCATCAGGCCCAGGAGGTTCTCTGGCAAGAATGATGATTTGAATTCTCCATGACCACTCACTTGGTGATTAGTCTTTTTATAACTTTGTTTCCTATCAACATAGCATTCATTGCCTTTAAAAGGATTGCAGTCTCCAAACTTCCTATGATTGCCTCATACCCTGGGTGCTCATGTTCTAGCCCCCATGCCATCTGGCAGCGATTCTAGTTCAGGGGCTGTGCATCAAGGGGGAAAACTGGTTCATCCTAACACCATTTGACACATGCCTTCCTGACAGTCTTCTACAGTACAAGGCACTGGGAGGGGCTGAGTCATCAGCCAGCCAAGTACCTTCCTGACCCATACTGTTGAGTCATCTGAACAGTATTCAGAACCGTTGCTGTTGGCTCATCAACAACTCCGAAATGTATCCTTCATCAGAAGTGTCCAGTCTCTTAGCCTGAGATTTGTAACATTATTTGAATATATATATATATATATATATTTAAATGTAAGAATAAAATAACCTAATTATTTATTATTTATCTATAGAATAAACAGACCTCTGCCAGCCCAGGTAGAGATGATGAGAACTAGGGTTTGATTTTTCTAATTACACACAGCTTTTGGATAGGGGTGGTCGAAAGGACACTTTATTCCTCTCCCCGTAGTCATGATTGCTCTGTTGCAGCTAATCAAACTCTAATTCATTACAAGCTAGGACAAGAAACAAAAGAGAAGAATAAATAATGGCTTCTACTGGCCCTTAAAGCCCAGTGGGACTCTCTGATTAAATGTGGCACTTGGGTTCACTAGGATGTGCGCCCCACGAGAGCAGACGCCTTGTCTGGCTTGCTTACAGATGTATCTCCAGCACCTACGTGAGCACCTGGCACATTGTGATCATGTAACAGGTATCTGCTCGACGAAGCAATGAATGAATGAATGAATGAACCAGACCACAGTCATCAAGAGCAGCAGAGGGGCCAAATGTCATAGTGCATAGAGAAGGCAAGTGAAATCAAACGCCTTGTGTTGAGTCCCAGGTCTTCTGACTGGATGAACTTGAATAAATTACCTCACTTCTCTGAGCCATTTCCTCACCATAAAAAGGAAGAACAAAAATATATATTCCACAGAGCTATTTTGTACAATGAATGATAAAATTCCTGTGAAGGTATTTCATAAAGTAACAGTTGCCCACACTAGCACTTTGGAAGTTCCCTTATATACCACTGGCCCACTTACTCCCTGCTCCAGTTCTCTGCTGTCTCCCCTTCCTCCCCATTCCCACCCCACTGCCTTAGCTACGTGATTCATCACCCAGATAGCTCCAGTCCCTTCCTACTGGATTCCCTGCCTTGAGCCTGACTCCTCTACAGGTTCTTGCTGCCAATAAGCTTTGTGGGTAAGTGACCAGTGCAACTGCATGGGGCCCCATACTCAGAAGGACCCCCTCCTTGAGGTTTAATGCACTGTGGTTGCTCTCTTGAAATTCTTAATAATTTAGTGCTTGGGAAGTAAAGTCCATGAGACAATGAGCTACGTGCTAGGGACTTAGGGTCTTGGCTCATGTGTGCCACATCTTCCTCCCCCTGGGACAGCTTCTCAGCCATTCACTCACTGTGTCCTGGCACTGTAGGCCCTGCCCAGCTTCCCTTCTCCCTAACCCCTTCCAGTGACCACTACCAACTCCACCAGCAGCAGGGGCCTGGGCACAGGTGTGGGAGGGTCAAGGTTGGATGAGCATCCCTCACGATGTCTAGGGGGATGGGCATGGTGATGGCTCTCTCTACCCTAGGCTGACTGTGTCACCATGCATTTGGCAGGTGACTTTGTGCAGGCAAGCCTTGCAACCACCCCAGACCCAGACACCTAGTGCATCCTGACACAGACCTTGTAATACCCTGTGGGGACATCTGCCTGCCAAGGGTAGGGGCATCAGTCCTCTGGGAAGGGGAGATGCCTGGCTCCATCTGGAGCTGGGGCACAGCCCATTAGTCCAGCAGATACTGAGAGTGGAGAGCAGCAGTGAGTGGGCCACACATGTCCCAAGTCTTGGGGTAGGACCCCAGGATTCTGTGAGTGTCTCTACTAGCCCCACAGGTATCCCTGTGCCTGACAGAGGTAACATTAAGCAGCAAATTTTAAAAACACCATGACCGGTTGAGAGACTACAGAATAAAGGGGGAAAAGTTGTTTATTTTAGTAGCACTAACAATAATTTTTTCTTGTTTTTAAATAGGGGCCCCTACTTTTTCTTTTGTCCTGGGCCCCAGTAGCTGATCCTGGCTCCCAGTATGACCCTTCTAGAGCTTGCCCCTGAATATGCCACTCACCTGTGAGACTCCTTCATAACTTATCCATAACATGGGCCATAAAGTTCAAGCTTCCTGGCTAGGCCCCCAGACCCCTCCTTGTCTGCCACATGGTGACTTCCTCTTTCCTTTCTGCTCGTCCACGCTTACCCTTCTCATTGGCCGTCTTGAAATATCAGTAGCTTCCGGAATGTGCTTGTCATTGTTTCTCACACATTCTTGCCTGTTACCATTCCCCTACCCCCACTTTTATCTATGTCCACTTAAGCCTCACTTCCTCCCATGGCCTTCCCTGACTGACCCCCAGGCTGAGTCAGGTGCTCCTTGCTGTGCTCCCACACCAACCCCCACTCCCAGGAGAACCTCGTCATGACCCTTATCACTCTGTCCTATAATCCCTGAAGTTCCTACCTGGCCTCTCCACGGGACTCATAACAACCTGGTCCCTGATAACAGGGGTCATGTCTTACGTGAATTTCTATTCCTAGCACCAGGCATAGTGCTGCCACTTTGGGGGGGAACTAAATTCAGTACTAAGCTGGACATGCTGGCCCTCTCTGCTCATTCCCTTCACTGCCTACTGAGTGAGATGATCGGAATCAAACAAGTCACAGCAGCCGCTTTCTCCAGAGATGAGTCTTTTCAATAACAAAGATGCCCATTTTAAACCTATTTTATAGACCTACCCCTTTCTGACCTGGCAAACTTCAATGACCCCTTGGGTTTCAGCCCTTGCTTATCACCAAGCCTCAGCTACAGAAATTGGAGATAAAAAGCACTGGACTCATTTTCTTATGAGAATAAATCATTTTTTCTCTTCAGTACATTCATAAAGCTCTAGCAACTCAACCCCAGACGTTGGATCTTCCTTCTACCACTTTCCTATGGAGATTAATGCCCCATATACTAGGAATCATGATCCTGGACCCAGAATCTTAACATAAGCTATTTGATCATCTGGGCCTCATTTGATAGTTGCAGGAGGACAAGTGGCTGCCCCTAATTCCAACCCCTGGGCCCTTGCTCCCTCCACTGCTCCATATGGGCTCTTGTGAACCAGGAATGATACCTCCTGGCTTTTGATGCACTCTTTGCACATCTCTCTTTGAAGATATAGTCATCATGCTTCTGGGTTTCTTCTCCTCAGGATCTCTAGACCATAGTGTAATCCTGTCAACTGTCTAGTAAGTCCAAACCCACCAGCCAGTACTAAATGAACCAGGATTCTGGCATTTTCTATTGCCATTTCTCACTGATGCTTCCCTCCCCCCGCCACCCAAATGTTCCTCAGGTGGTCTTTGTAAAAATTGGGAAGGAGGGAGGATGAGACTATCAATAACCATCAGTGATGAAGCAATATAGTTCACTAAAGTGGGGGAGAGCTGATGATAAAGAAATGATCCTTATTGACACGCAATATTGACAGAGTAGCCACACAAATCATACTCATTATCTCCCTAACCCAGCTGCCTAGGTGCTTTTGGGAGCAGCCCAATTGCTGCCCCATGATTTCATGAATGGTCCCCTCCTTATTCCACCACCATTCATGGATTAGTTAATAAGCTAGTAAGTTTCTGCTCCAGGCAGAGAGCAATATGCAACCCAGCAGCTTTCCAAACAGCCCGGAAATGGGTCATTTTATTGTACACATCCCTAGTCACCTTGCTAACAGCCTCGGGCTTCAGGAATGTCATTAAATATTCCTTTCAAGAAACACAGGAACCCCTAAATGTGGCCCT